CACTATTTCCAATACAATCCCCATATAAAGTTTATAATTTACACGTAAATTGTGTCGGTTAATACCACGAGAGATTTATATTTATTACTTTAAACTATCTCCTGGTTCGTATCTCATTCAAAGCCTCTCTTGTTTCTTCGAATGAGAAGACGGGCACTCGTTGTTCGGACGGATTAGGGCTGAATTACACCTTACCAATGTTTATCGAATGTAAGATGAAACTGCATCCTAATGGCAGCATGGTACAGACTATTCCAAAGCTCATCCCATATTCATCTGCGAAAGCTGCTTGTCCAAGAAGGAAGAGTAAACTGGGGATCCCACCCGGACACAGAGTGTGCAAATTTCCAGGTAAGTCGTTATTTGCCTGCTATAAAGATGATAACGCATATAATCTGTTCTACTGTTCAATTCTTTAGAAAATGTAATAGTGTAAATCCTTGCCAAAAGTGTCATAAGATTCGATATATAATAATTATGTTGGAGACCATTTTAAAGACATTGGCAACAAAGGTGGAGAGTCTATCCAAAAGCAGTCGGGTTTTATAGCCAGAGGAGCAGCCAAAAGCCCCCCCCCCCCCCCCCCCCAACAAGATGGTTTGACTTCATCCAGTCCGTGACACACCTTCGCCAAGAAAAGGAAGTAATGTCACTAGACATCACAAAACACGAAAGACTGTCAAAAGCTTAACAACTTCGATTTTGTTTTTGTTTTTAATTCCCGAGGTGAGGGTGTTGTTAACTTTACTAATCCCTAGTCGAACAGGTGTAGATGGTTACATAATCCTTTACAATGAGTGCTACATAACATGTTCCGGCGACGATCGATCTACGATTTCTCTAAGTTCAACCAGGAGGTTGGGATTTCCCGGTTCAACCTACTGTAGTATACATCCCCATGCATGTACCTAACCAGGCGCGTACGCAGGGGGGGGGGGGGGGGGGGGGGAATCTCCTTTGGAAATTTTTTGTGTGTAAACCCCCCTAAAAAAAAACCTAAAACCCCCCCCCCCCCCCCCCCTTTTGGATTTTTTTTTTTTTTTTTTTTTTTTTTTTTTAATTATTAAAAAAAAAAAAAAAAAAAAAAAATTATTCCCATGGCCGACCTAAAAAAGGTGACCTTACCCCCCCCCAATGGAGCAAAATGTCAAATTTCCAAATTTCGAGACCAAAAAAAAAAAAAAATGTGTCCTCTTACCCCCCCCCGCTTATTCAGCGGCTGGCTGAGTCGTTGCGAAATTTTCGGACCGATTTATAAATGTTAAAACCCCCCCCCCCTTGAAAAAATCCTGCGTACGCGCCTGTACCTAACCCTAACCCTAACCCTAAACCTCACAAAAAACTTTATTGCGACACACGCCATAATAGCACAACTTTGGCAAAAGGAAAACTGGAGCAAATATTTGATAATCAAATTGCAGGGTCCGGTACGGGATAAATTCGAGAACCAGCAGAATTTCAGAATGGCATAATTATTCGTTCATGTCATTACAAAAAGATATTTGACAATAACTTGTACATAAACACGGCTGCGATACCTTATAGTTAACCTTACAAGTAATATACAACAAATTCTTGAACATGTTTAGGCTAATTTCGGTCAGCGCGCCGAGCCGCTACCCGACTAAAGCCATTGCATTAGAGCAATTTGGAGTTATTAGTATTAAAATCTAGTAGCGTGAAGTAAAAACATTATTTTTGTAGTAGATTTTGGTCATCGGGTACTTGGATGTTTTGTTTATGATTTTTTTATTCAGGAGCATTTCATTGTTCACAACACTTTCTGTCGACAAAGTTCGGCACGAGGGCTTGAAGTGTAGATATTGTTGTGATGTTCGGCTCTAGGGGCTTCTGACAACGCATTTCCGGCGGACATTTTTGTCATTTTGTGCATGTGTGTTTTTAATGCACAAAATTACTATTCTACTTTGAAAAGTTTTGATGCATGGAGAATGCAAGATGAAATCGTCCTAACAGATTATTTTGTTTTTGGGAGGGGGCCCAGTGTGTGCTAAACCAGACGGTTTACAGTTATGTTTGAAGCGATAAAAACCTATGCATTCGATGGAGATACTCTTTTTATGACGTTCTGAAACCAGGCGATCAATAAATAATTCAGTTTATTTTATTCATATATTTGCAGTTTTATTTTACAGGGTAGCATTGTCAGTTACAAAACTGCTTTCTTCAATGGCTCTTTTGGCCTAGATTAAAATGTATACAATATTGAAATGAAAGAAATATCAATTGCTAAATTTCTATTCAAGTGTAGTTTCCTAAAAACGTTTGAAGTCGATCATAGTTGAAAAGCAATTTGTTAATCAGACAACGTTGATTATAAAAACTATGTCGGAAGGCATTACAACCAATATCAAAATAATGTATTATTTTGTGGGGATGTGAGCGAATAATCGGTTCAGGTTACTGTACTTCCATATCTTGATTGGTCTGCCTGCCTATTCACAAATAATATAATGTATCCCGTCCTCCAGCATGATATCAAGAACGAGCAACACTTTAATATATTAAATTCATTTGCTGATGTTTAGTACGTTTAGCATGTGGTTGTCTTAGCAACACAACATGGCGAACAGATCACATCGGCAGAAAGATGATGATACGCTCCAGTGATTCGAAACTTAATCTTATTGTTGGATTATTAATCAGCCAAGTAGTCTGTTTACCATCATTATTAGCACACCTTGTCAACAAGAGGTTTTGAAACATGATCAATATAAATCAATTAGATTAACAGTGATGATATGTAAGATACTACTACAACGTTCACTACTACTACTACTACTACTACTACTACTACTACTACTACTACTAATAATAATAATAATAATAATAATGAACGATTACAATACGTCATTCCTATTAAAATTGACAGCGCTGTCGCAATTGTGAAAAATATTGTATATTTGTGTATTATTTCAAATGAAACATAACAGTACAAAATCTACGTCAATAATAGCAGTACTAGTAATATAAAGCAGCAGCAGCGGTAGTAGTAATAGTAGTAGTAGTAGTAGTAGTAGTAGTAGTAGTAGTAGTAGTAGTAGTAGTTGTAGTAGTAGTAGTGGTAGTATTACTATCATTATAATGGTAATTATTATTATTGTTACTGCTATTAATAGTAGTATGAGTAGTAGTCGTCGTAGTAGAATACAGTAATACTTTATATTTGTCAAGGGTATAGAGGTTGTTGCAGAAATAAATGTATTCCTAAACAATCGACAATCGCTGAGCTATAGTTCATTGCAGGGGCGTAGACAACGGGGGGGATGAGGGGGATGCATCCCCCCCCCCCCCCCAGCTCACAAGGTGGGGGGATGGCATGTACAATCATCCCCCCCAGGTTTTTGGGAATGATATTTGCTTACTTAATAAGTCATAATGATGATAATAATAGTAATAATAATAATGATAACAATTATAATATTAATAATAATAATAATTATGATGATGATAATAATAATCCTCATCATTATTGTAATTGTGTTTATTGTTATTAGCCGCATTCACACGGTGAAAGCCAATACAGACGGTAAAAAAAAGAAAATCTTACAAGTATTTTGTGGTTATCTTGTGGTTTAGATACCACAAGATAACCACAAGATTAAACAGGCGCGGATCTACGGGGGGGGGGGTTAGGGGGTTTAAACCCCCCCCCCCCCTTGGGCGGCCCAAAAAACAAACAAAACTAAAAAAAAAAAGGGAAAAAAAGAAGGAAAAAAAGAAAAAAAAGAAAAAAAGAAAGAAAAAAGAACGCACGCTGGAGAGAAACCCTTTCAAGTGCAAATATTGTGAGAAGATATTCAACTCATCTGGTAACTTAACCAAACACATGATAACTCTGGATATAACTGTGTATCTAACTGTTACTTGATTTAAAAAGGCGTTATCATGCACTGCTTTTTATGGTCTCCATTGTGTTAATAGATGCCAGGAAAACATCACTTACGGGGTTCAAATAAACACCCCCAAAAAAATCGGCTCGCCGCTTCGCGGCTCGTGGACGATGCTCCGCATCGTCATTATATTGGCAAAAAGCAAAAAAAATGAGCAAAAAGCTAGATCCGCCCCTGAGTCATCCCCCCCAGGTTTACGAACCTGTCTACGCCACTGGTTCATTGTCCTGCCTCCTCTTTTTTCTACAGATTGTGGCGAAAATACCTGTCAAAACGGCTGGTGTGAAGAGACTATGAAAAACTTCAAATGCCACTGCTCTGCCGAATATCGAGGGAAACGTTGCACTAAAAGTGAGAATGATATTATCTGACAAGTCGGTTAGACGAATTATAAACCATCTATACAACTTATTTTTGCTAATAACCTGATTTCGAGCTAAATTGATCAACCTTGTCAAAAGGAAAGGTACTTGACTTTTCTTTGACCATGTTTCAACAGGTTACTTCACTGTGTAAGTCTTTAAATTTTCATTTGTGTAATATATATCTAGGGTCAGAAGGATGCTAATTGATGAGGCATGCCATCATGCTATTCGCTCTCTTGTTTTAAGCCGTCTTGATAATGCCAATTCCCTCTTGATTAATATAAATGTTTCAGATATCGATAGACTTCAACGAATCCATAATCGTGCAGCCCGTATTATTTCAAATGCAAGAAAATATGATTTTGCCCCCAGATAGTATCATCAGGTATTCATATCTTATTTTTCTTCAGAATCAACTACAACACAAGACGCCACAAGGATGTCCACGACGGAATCCGCCACCTCACATCCTACCACAACTACTTTTAAGAAAACTTCATTTACACCATCTCTCTCTCTCTCTCTCTCCCCCCCCCCCCCCCCCCTGTCTCTCTCTCTTTCTTCTCTCTCTCTCTCTCTCTCTCTCTCTCTCTTCTCTCTTTCTCTCTCTCTTTTTTCTCTCTCTCTCACCATACTCAACCTTTCCGTGTACAATTTTCTTATTTAAGTCATTACCGCTCATTCTCTCTCTCTCTCTCTCTCTCTCTTTTATTTGTTTTTCTCTCTCTCTCACCATGCTCAACCTTTCCGTTTACAATTTTCTCATTTTAGTCATAACCCTCACTCTACCAGACTCTCACACACACACTCTTTCTCTCTTACTCTCTCTCTCTCTCTCTCTCTCTCTCCCTCTTTCTCTCCATCTATATCTCTCTTCGCCTTTTCTCTCTCTTTCGATTGCTATTTTAATTTTACTTTGCTACAACGTGAAGCATCATATTGTTCTCGGCAGCCACTCAGGCGTCACAAGCTTGGAATTGAATAACATGTGATGATTTGTACAGTAGGATTTGGTAACGTTACTTTGGCAAAAATGAAAAATAAATGTATTTTGCCCCTGGATAGTATTATCAGGTGTTCATATCTTATTTATTCTCCAGAATCGACTACAACACAAGACACCACAACGATGTCCACCACGGAATCCACCACCTCACATCCAACCACAACTACTCGTAAGAAAACTTCATTTACACCATATCTCTCTCTCTCTCTCTCTCTCTCTGTCTCTTCTCTTCTCTCTTTTCTCTCTCTCTCTTTTTTTCTCTCTCTCTCACCATACTCACCCTTTACGTGTACAATTTTCTTATTTAAGTCATTAACGCTCATTCTCTCTCTCTCTCTCTTCTCTCTTTTATTTTTTTTCTCTCTCTCTTACCGTGCTCAAACTTTCCGTTTACAATTTTCTAATTTTAGTCATTAACCCTCTCTCTCACACACACTCTCTCTGTCTCTCTCTCTCTCAGACTCTCTCTCTCTCTCTCTGTCTCTGTCTCTCTCTCTTTCTCTCTATATATCTATCTCTCTATCTATCTATCTATCTCTCTTCGCCTTTTCTTTCTCTCTCGATTTCTATTTTAAATGTTTTCTTACTTTCCTTCTCTCTCTCCAATTTTATCTTGCTGTCTGTCCCTTCTCTTTCTCTCTTTCTCTATTATAATTTCACTTTGCTACAAAGTGTAGCATCATATTCTTCTCGGCAGCCACTCGACTCAGGCGTCACAAGCTAGGAACTGAATATCATGTGATGATTTGTACAGTTAGATTCGTTAACGTTTGGCAAAAATGAAAATAAACGTATTTTGCCCCCAGATAGTATCATCGGGTGTTTATATCATATTTCTTTTTCAGAATCAACTACTACACAAGACGCCACAACGATGTCCACCACGGAATCCGCCACCTCACATCCTACCACAACTACTCGTAAGAAAACTTTATTTACACCATATCTCTCTCCATCTCTCTCTCTCTCTCTCTCTCTCTCTCACCATGCTCAACCTTTCCGTTTACAATTTTCTCATTTTAGTCATTAACCCTTACTCTCTCACTCCCTCTCTCTCTCTCTCTCGCTCTTCGCCCTTTCTTTCTCTCTAGATTTCTATTTTGCATGTTTTCTTATTTTCCTTCTCTCTCTCGTATTTTATCTTGCTGTCTCTCCATGACTCTCTCTTTCTCTATTTTAATATCAATTTGCTACAACGTGTAGCATTATATCGTTCTCGGCAGCCACTCAGGCGTCATAAGCTAGGGATTGAATATTATGTGATGATATTTTGTACAGTAAGATTTGTTAAAAAATGGTAAATATGAAAATAAATATATATGCCCTCAGATAGTATCATCGGGTGTATAATTATATCTTATTTCTTTTTCAGAATCGACTACAACACAAGACGCCACAACGATGTCCACCACGGAATCCACCACCTCACATCCTACCACAACTACTCGTAAGAAAATTTTATTTTACACCATCTCTTTATCTCTTTATCTCTCTCTCTCTTCCCTCTTTTATTTATTTCTCTCTCTCTCTCTCTCTCTCTCTCTCTCTCTCTCTCACACCATGCTCAACCTTTCCGTTTACAATTTTCTCATTTTAGTCATTAACCCTCACTCTATCAGACTCTCACACACACACTCTTTCTCTCTTACTCTCTCTCTCTCTCTCTCTCTCTCCCTCTTTCTCTCACCATACTCAACCTTTCGGTGTACAATTTTCTCATTTAAGTCATTAAACGCTCATTCTCTCTCTCCCTCTCTTCTCTCTTTTATTTCTTTTCTCTCTCTCTCACACCATGCTCAACCTTTCCGTTAATAATTTTCTAATTTTAGTCATTAACCCTCACTCTCTCAAACACACTCTATGTCTCTCTGTCTCTCTCTCTCTCTCTCTTTCTCTCTCTCTCTTCTCTATTTTCTCTCTCTCTTTCACCATGCTCAACCTTTCCGTTTACAATTTTCTCACTTTAGTCATCAACCCTCATTCTCTCAGACTCTCACTCTCTCTCTCTCTCTCTCTCTCTCTCAGACTCTCACTCTCTCTCTCTCTCTCTCTCTGTCTCTGTCTCTCTCTTTCTCTCTATATATCTATCTCTATTTCTATCTATCTCTCTTCGCCTTTTCTTTCTCTCTCGATTTCTATTTTAAATTTTTTCTTAATAATAATAATAATACAATATTTATATAGCGCAAAATAAACATCAGTTTCTCTTTGCGCTGTACAAGCATAATTATAATCACATAAAATGAATCAACACAGAGAAATATACAAATCTTATACTACTAAAATGACTAACTTAACATAGTAAATAACATAATAAAGAGATAGCTAACATGGTCAAAAACAAAGAACGTAAGTCAGGATAGTTTAAACTAATTAATTAAGGCCAAAGAGGTGCGTTTTTAGTGAAGATTTGAATGTTGCAGCAGTGGGTGCCTGTCGTATGAATTTGGGGAGATTGTTCCAAAGGTTTGGTCCAGCAACTGCAAATGATCTGCCCCCATAGAATATAGTATTGGTTTTTGGTACACAAAGTAATGCTTGATTGCTTGAACGGAGGGTTCGGGGTGGGTGGTATTGTTTGAGCAAATCAGTCAGGTATGAAGGAGAAGAACTATGTTGTGCTTTAAATGTAATTAATAAGAGTTTGAATATGATGCGCTTATCTACAGGAAGCCAGTGTAGTTTCTTCAGAGTACTAGTTATACTTTGTTGGTATGGAGTGCGAGTGACCAGTCTCGCTGCAATGTTCTGTATCATCTGGATCCGGTAAATGTCAATTGCGGGAAGTCCAAACAACAAGCTGTTACAGGAGTCTAATCTGCTTGTTACAAATGCATGCACCAGAGTGAGTGCACCTTGCTTCGAGAGGAAACATCTGATTTTACTTATGCACCTGATTCCTGCCATTGCTGATTTGCAAACAGTTTTTATATGTTCTTTCAAGGTGATGTGCTGGTCAAAGACAACCCCCAAATTTCTGGCACAAGGAACAGGATTAATGTGGCAGTCACCGACATATACACTAGATAGGGTAGGATCTCGACGAAACTTGGATGTGAAATGGATAACTTCAGTTTTGGAATCATTCAAAGACAATTTGTTTTTCATTGCCCAAATCTTCACATCAGTTATGCAGGCTTTCAGCTTCTCTAACGATTCTTCACGTTCACTAGGCTTGAACACGATATACATTTGCGTGTCATCCGCATAAAGCATTACATTTACACCATGAGATGTTATGATGTCTTCCATTGGCGCTGTGTACATTGTGAAGGCAAGGGGCCCGATGACGGATCCTTGTGGAACCCCATGCTTATCATGGTAGGTCTGCGACGAGGCATTTTTTATCATAACAACATGCGTTCTGTTTTCCAGGTATGAGGAAAACCATCGAAGAGCCCTTCCCCTGATTCCAAAGTAGGATTCCATTCTTTCAAGCAGCAGATCATGGTCAATCGTATCAAATGCTGCACTAAAATCTAGCAGCACCAGTACCGCATCCTGCCGAGCATCTAGAGCCATCAGGAGGTCATTTTGGACCCTGAGAAGCGCTGTCTCAACACTAAAGTGTTCGCGATATGCCGACTGGGCGCTAGGAAGGAGATCATGATCAGCTAGGTATTCCCTGATCTGCCTGGCGACGACCCTTTCTACCAGCTTTCCAACAAAACTGAGATTCGCTATAGGCCGATAGCTCGATACATCATCATGAGGAAGACCATCTTTCTTAAGTCTAGGTTGGACAATTGCATGTTTCATGCATGCAGGCACCTCTCCTTTCTGTAAGCTGGTATTCACTATTTTGACAAGAACTGGGGCCAGACAAGATATCACCTTCTTAAGTAGAGACGTAGGTATCGGGTCCAAATCACAGTAAGAATTGGATGTTCCCTTGACGATGTTGACTAATTCATCCTCAGACACTGTGTGGAACTCAGTCAGATACGAGGAGCACCGATCTTTGACTGGAACTGACAGGTCCTCAGAGATGGATGCATCTAGCTCCTGCCGTATACGCTTGACTTTTTCATCGAAGAAACTGCAGAACGACTCTGCAAGCTGGCCAGGAGAGTCATGGCATGGCAGTATTTGGCTAGAAGCATGTGGTGATGAGAGAGTCCGAACCATTCGATACAAGCCTCGTTGATCACGATGATCGATTTTCTTGAGAAAGTAGTCCTCTTTTGTCTGACGAAGAAGAAATAAATAGGACTTGCACTTCTCCTTGTAAATGTCCTTGTGAATTTGAAGGCCAGATTTGTAAACTGCCCTTTCAGCTCTTCTCCGCTCTTGCTTGGATCTCCTGAGGGCGTCCGAGTACCATTGAGCTTGCGGTCTAAGGATGAACTCCTTCTCCTCGAGCGGTGCATGCTGATCTAACAACCTCTGCATCTCCTCGTTATATAGGTCAGCAAGGTCACCACATTCATCCAGAGAATCTGTGAATAGTTGTGACTTCTGAATGTCCTTCTGAAAATCCTGTTGATCAATGTCCTTGCATTTCCTTAGGACCACTGTACGTTTGACAGGAAGCGGTCTTGCAAACGACAAGCCACATATTGCAGACCGATGATCAGAGGGTAGAGACGAATCAGTCGATGATGTCAACACAAGATCATCACTATCTCGAGATATGACGAGATCAAGTGTGTGACCACTGGAGTGCGTGGGGCTCTTTATGTGGTTGTGAAGATTAGCAACATCCAAAAGACTGAGAAACCTCTGAGCATCAACATTATTCGGGTCATCTACGTGAACATTAAAATCACCGACTATCAACAGCCTCTGATGGTTGATGCAGAGCACCTCAACCAAAGTAGATAATTCATTGAAGAAGGTACTTAAAGTCTCTCTCTTCCTAGCAGAGGACGGTGGTCTGTAGATGACAACAAGACGAAGATCCGTCGATCCAGATGACCTTAGCATCAGGTCAATATGCTCAAAGGACTTAAAGGTGAATTCCCGATTTACACTCACTTTGAACCCTTTATGTAGCAAAACACCAACCCCACCTCCTTTTCCGCTAAGACGAGGAGAGTGGTGGAATTCAAAGTTCGGCAGAGTTGTCCTAATGTCGGCAAGGGCACGATTATCACGATCTGAGTTAGTAAGCCAAGTCTCCGTGACAGCAAAAATATGGAGCTGTTTTGATATCACAAAGTCACATATGGCAGTAGACTTTCCGCGGGCCTTCACTGAACGTGCGTTCCAAATTGCAAAATTAGTAAAGGAGTTTGAGTGTGGAACCATATTTCTTTGAATGGTTATTACTTCCCGATGTTCATTAAATGGTATCCCAAGTTCATGTTTCGAATATCGGATATCTCTATTTTTCATCTGATGTATGCGGGGGCGGATGATAACTGGAATATGTTCTGATTCAGGGGCTAAGGTAGACTGTGCCAGTAGACGACGACGGCGGCATCTTCCCCCCTTGCGACTTCGCCTTGTACGGTGCTTGCAAATTTCAAGAGTGTGGAGGGTTTTCCACACAGTTGGTGTTACTCGAAAATGCTGGCGGTTAAGGCTCCGTAACATGTCCACATCATACCGAATCCTGTTTGATGTAACAGAATTCTTTCTATGTAGACAGTCCTCGCTATTTGATTCATGATGTTGTTGAAGAATATCAGGACCGGGATTTGGATGTATATCCCCACATTCTACAAGCTGAACATGGAAGGTAGATGTGGATGTGGCAGTCTGGTAGTAGGATATCCTTTTCCCGATGTATTTTGTCTTTGATGAAAAGCTACACTTGCATGTATTGTGTAGCACGGTATAACTTTCTGTAGTACCACTACTCGTTGCCGATGAAAGGGAGTAGGCAAGACCAACTATGATGACCAGGAACATATAAATGAAAGTCATTGTTAATCTGCATGTGGTCTAGTCCATTGATAATGCAGTCCAGTTCAATTGAGGGCTTAAAAAGGCTATTCACAGTTGATCACACATGAATAGAACTTAGAAGAATAGGCTAGATGACCAGTGGCTATATACTGCATGCATGTAACTCCATCATGGCTACAGGCTGTGCTCCAAGTGTATATAGAACCACAGAATATTGGTTGTCACAACCACGACACAAGCAGTCCAAAAAATCAGTTCAAACTAGTCTAGCAGGATCAGTACAGTATCATTAACAACATGATACCAAAATCACTAGTTGGCAGAAACCCAGTACAGAGAAAATAGAGATAGTTAAAGGAGCCTGGCAGAGCAGCTGTTACGCGCTCCACTATCTTCAAAAGCTCCCTTCCCTTCTCTCTCCCTTCTCTCTCTCCAATTTTATCTTGCTGTCTGTCCCTTCTCTCTCTCTCTTTCTCTATTATAATTTCACTTTGCTACAAAGTGTAGCATCATATTCTTCTCGGCAGCCACTCTACTCAGGCGTCACAAGCTAGGAACTGAATATCATGTGATGATTTGTACAGTTAGATTTGTTAACGTTTGGCAAAAATGAAAATAAACGTATTTTGCCCCCAGATAGTATCATCAGGTGTTTATATCATATTTCTTTTTCAGAATCAACTACTACACAAGCCGCCACAACGATGTCCGCGATGGAATCCTCCACCTCACATCCTACCACAACTACTCGTAAGAAAACTTTATTTACACCATCTCGCTCTCTCTCTCTCTCTCTCTCTCTCTCTCTCTCTCCCTCTATCACTTTCCTTCTCTCTCTCTCTCTCTCTCTCTCTTTCTCTCCAATTTCATCTCGCCGTCTCCCCATCTCTCTCTCTCTCTCTCTCTCTCTTTCTTTCACCTTTACTTTGCTACAAACGTGAAGCAACATCTTCCTCTCTGCATCTATCATCTGATCAGGTGTCAAACGCTAGGACTTCAATAGTATGTGATGATTTGTTCAGGAATTGTTAAAGTTTGGTATATAAGAAAATAAATATATTTACCCTCGAGTGGTATCATCAAATGTTTATATCATATTTCTTCTTCAGAATCGACTACAACACAAGACGCCACAACGATGTCTACCACGGAATCCACCACCTCGAATCCTACCACAACTACTCGTAAGAAAACTTCAATTTACACGATCTCTTTATCTCTCTCTCTCTCTCTCTCTTCCCTCTTTTATTTATTTTCTCTCTCTCTCTCTCTCTCTCTCTCTCTCACCATGCTCAACCTTTCCGTTTACAATTTTCTCATTTTAGTCATTAACCCTCACTCTATCAGACTCTCACACACACACTCTTTCTCTCTTACTCTCTCTCTCTCTCTCTCTCTCCCTCTTTCTCTCCATCTATCTCTCTTCGCCCTTTCTCTCTCTTTCGATTGCTATTTTAATTTTACTTTGCTACAACGTGAAGCATCATATTGTTCTCGGCAGCCACTGAGGCGTCACAAGCTTGGAATTGAATAACATGTGATGATTTGTACAGTAAGATTTGGTAACGTTACTTTGGCAAAATTGAAAAATAAATGTAATTTGCCCCTGGATAGTATTATCAGGTGTTCCCAATAAACAAAATCACGTGAAAATCACGTCAATTTCAAGGTATCGACTTGAGGAGAGTTACGTTCTTCAAACACCGGACATTTACGTAAATGTGTTAATACGTTTATTGCATTAGGTAACTTGAAACACACGTTCACTAAATCACGCAATTGTCACTGCAATATCACCATTATAATAACGTGATTATCCCTACCTTGGAGACCATGGTTTGTAAACCTAATACTCCCGTGTTTGTTTGGTTATGAAATTACATCTTCATAAACGAAATTATCGCGTCACAGAAACACGTGAAGCGTTGGTGATAGTTTTAGTCAAAATATCTGCGTGAAATTCACGTGAATATTACGAGGCTGACTTGAGATGAATCATGTTCTTCATTCACGTGAAATTTACGTCGAAGAGGAAGTATGTTACTGTAACCCGCGTTCAACCCAATAATTACGCAAATGTTACACAATAAATGAACCAAAATAATGACGTTCTCATCCCGTTTCTGAACATCGTGTCTTGGATCCAAGCGCGCCGGAAGCAGTTTGGGATAAGAGGGGGTTGGGTGGGGGGGGGGGGGGTGCAAACATCCCAGAAGAGAAAGCTAGTTGCAACTGGTCCAGTTGATGAACCATTTAATGCCATCTGGTAACCCTGGAAATTGAAATGGGCTAAATGATCCAGTTGATCCAGGCCAGTTATAATTCAACTGGTCTAGCTGAGCCATTAGAACCATTTGGTAAAACTTCCAACCAGTTGAACAGCAACAATACTTCAATACTGGTACGTCTGTATTTCCAATGTAAGGGCATTGGTAATAAGTAGACTTACATAATTGAATTAATCGAAAAAAATTCGTATACTTGTACTTTATTGAAATTATTTTAGTTCACAGTTAATGTTTCCCTTATTCATGTTTAACTATTTATACGAAGTAGCGAAATGTCCTAATAACTGGTAATTTATATTTGTAGTATTTTTGAAATGAATTGCATATAACTAAATCATCAGTAATTAAGAAATATGCTGTAAATTCAGATAAATTGTTTAAAAAACATGGATCTGCACGCACCCCATATTCAATATGCAAATGAATTGGTGTCAGCTGGGTCAACTCGAAATATGCCAACGCTCAGTCATCAACTGGTGCAACTGTAAATATGCACACTCCAGTTATCAACTGGTGCAATGAAAATATGCCAACAGTCAGTTATCAACTGGTGAAAATAGAAATATGCCAACAGTCACGGGATTATCACCACGGAACTTAAATGGTAACTGTGAAACCATCAAGACACCCAAGAATAACTCATGTTCACACATGGAAAACACGGAATACCCAGCTTATATTAATAATCCGTTTGAGTCACGCGATCATCACCGCGGAACTGCTGGCAACTTTGACTACGATTTAAATAGGTGTTTTAAGACACCTTATAATGACTATTTGTTCACACCTAAAAGTCACGTATGCCCTGCTTAGATTAATATTCCGTTTGAGTCACGAGATCACCACCGCGGAAGTGCTGGCAACTTTGACTACCATTTAAATAGGTGTTTTAAGACACCTAATAATTACTAATTTTTCACACCTAAATATCACGGATGCGCAGCTTAGATTAGTAATCAGTTTTAACTACGTGATCATCACCAAGAAAGTTATGGTATCTTTGAAACCATTTAAATAGGTGTTTTAAGACACCTAATAATGACTAATTTTTCACACCTAAAAGTCACGTATGACCAGCTTAGATCAATAATCCGTTTGAGTCACGAGATCATCACCGCGGAACTTATGGCAAATTTGACTACCATTTATAAAGGTGTTTTGAAACACTTAATAATTACTCATTTTCACGTCTACATATCACGTTTTCACAGCTTAGATTAGTAATCAGCTTGAGCCACGTGATCATAACCAAGAAATTTATGGTAACTTTGAAACCTTTTAAAGAGGTGTGTAAGACACCTCAGAATTACTAGTTGAATATAACCAGAGATTCACGGACAGAACAATAAGACGATTAGCCGGTGTAAGTAACGTGATTATTACCATCAACCTTGGATAACCTGTGAAACCAATCAATAAAGGTGTTTACAAGACCAAAAAATTACGTATTTATCGCCACCATCGGTTAACTGACAAAAAACTCGTTGCTTGGTCAAGTGGTTATTTGGTCATAAACACTTGATTTACAGAGGTAAGTGGAATCACGTTACTCCAGTCGCGTGATAAACTGGTGGTTTTTAGGTTAGATGAAAACGTGAACAGAAGTACCTTTTTTGTTTAAATGAAGGCACGTGTCGATAACGTTTAAATCTAGTTCAAAAGGCACTATACTTTAAAATCACTTAAAATACACTCCCAAAAGAGGTTACTTTTTGGTGTTCTGTTTATTGGGTTCATATCTTATTTATTCTCCAGAATCGACTACAACACAAGACACCACAACGATGTCCACCACGGAATCCACCACCTCACATCCAACCACAACTACTCGTAAGAAAACTTCATTTACACCATATCTCTCTCTTTCTCTCTCTCTCTCTCTCTGTCTCTTCTCTTCTCTCTTTTCTCTCTCTCTCTTTTTTCTCTCTCTCTCTCACCATACTCACCCTTTACGTGTACAATTTTCTTATTTAAGTCATTAACGCTCATTCTCTCTCTCTCTCTCTCTCTTCTCTCTTTTATTTTTTTTCTCTCTCTCTTACCATGCTCAAACTTTCCATTTACAATTTTCTAATTTTAGTCATTAACCCTCTCTCACACACACTCTCTCTCTCTCTCTCTCTCTCTCTCTCTTTCTCTCTCTCTCTTCTCTATTTTCTCTCTCTCTATCACCATGCTCAACCTTTCCGTTAATAATTTTCTCATTTTAGTCATTAACCCTCACTCTCTCAGACTCTCTCTCTCTCTCTCTCTCTCTCTCAGACTCTCTCTCTCTCTCTCTCTTTCTCTCTATATATCTATCTCTCTATCTATCTATCTCTCTTCGCCTTTTCTTTCTCTCTCGATTTCTATTTTAAATGTTTTCTTACTTCCCTTCTCTCTCTCCAATTTTATCTTGCTGTCTGTCCCTTCTCTCTCTCTCTCTCTCTTTCTCTATTATAATTTCACTTTGCTACAAAGTGTAGCATCATATTCTTCTCGGCAGCCACTCGACTCAGGCGTCACAAGCTAGGAACTGAATATCATGTGATGATTTGTACAGTTAGATTTGTTAACGTTTGGCAAAAATGAAAATAAACGTATTTTGCCCCCAGATAGTATCATCAGGTGTTTATATCACATTTCTTTTTCAGAATCAACTACTACACAAGACGCCACAACGATGTCCACGACGGAATCCGCCACCTCACATCCTACCACAACTACTCGTAAGAAAACTACATTTACACCATATCTCTCTCCATCTCTCTCTCTCTCTCTCTCTCTCTCTATCTCCCCCTCTGTCTCTCTCTCTCTCTCTCTCTCTCTCACCATGCTCAACCTTTCCGTTTACAATTTTCTCATTTTAGTCATTAACCCTTACTCTCTCACTCCCTCTCTCTCTCTCTCTCGCTCTTCGCCCTTTCTTTCTCTCTACCGGTAGATTTCTATTTTGCATGTTTTCTTATTTTCCTTCTCTCTCTCGTATTTTATCTTGCTGTCTCTCCATGACTCTCTCTTTCTCTATTTTAATATCAATTTGCTACAACGTGTAGCATTATATCGTTCTCGGCAGCCACTCAGGCGTCATAAGCTAGGGATTGAATATTATAGTATTAATGACTGCTTTGAGAGAAATAGTTGTTTTATTACGCTCAAGGGAAGGTTAGAATTGTGCTATTCCCCGAGGCTTGCCGAGGGGAATAGCCCAATTGTAACCTTCCCGAGAGCGTATGAAAACAACTATTTCTCGAATATTAAAGCAGTCATTAATACTTTTATATGCCGAAAAAAAATAGACTAAAAAATAAAAAATAAAAAATAATTTATATTTTTGTCGAAGACGGTATTCGAACTCTTGCGTACAACAAGAGGTGTATCGAAAACCAACGCTTAGACCACTCGGCTATCGCGCGCCGTTAACATGCTTGGCAGTTTTCTCCAATATATACATTAAAATGGATTGAAAACGGCTCTGCGTGAGGGATGCTTCGCAAAAGCTCCATGAAACGGACCCTTCTTTTACTTTTGCAATGCATATTGGCACGAACTTAGATCAAGATCTATCGGCAGATGTTGTTTTTTTGTTTTTGAGAGTTAATTTTCGTCTTCATGTCAACAATGCAAGATAAAATTGTCGGTAAGATCGATCGAGATTCAATTGTATTGAAATTGCCGACCAATTTTTCGCACACGTATGGTATTCTCTATCGCTCAAACCATTTTTTAACATGTAAACCTATGGGGTAACCATGGAGACTGACCTATTTTTTTAATAACCATGGTTATTAAAAATATTGAAATGTTTTAAGCATGGTTACCGGGAATTTTACAGGAACAGTTGAAGTTTATGAATGCAATTCGACCAATCAGATGGCTGGATTTCTTAAGTGAGGTATATAATATGTGATGATATTTTGTACAGTAAGATTTGTTAAAAAATGGTTAATATGAAAATAAATATATATGCCCTCAGATAGTATCATCGGGTGTATAATTATATCTTATTTCTTTTTCAGAATCGACTACAACACAAGACGCCACAACGATGTCCACCACGGAATCCACCACCTCGAATCCTACCACAACTACTCGTAAGAAAATTTTATTTTACACCATATCTTTATCTCTTTATCTCTCTCTCTCTTCCCTCTTTTATTTATTTTCTCTCTCTCTCTCTCTCTCTCTCACACCATGCTCAACCTTTCCGTTTACAATTTTCTCATTTTAGTCATTAACCCTCACTCTATCAGACTCTCACACACACACTCTTTCTCTCTTACTCTCTCTCTCTCTCTCTCTCCCTCTTTCTCTCCATCTATCTCTCTTCGCCCTTTTTCTCTCTTTCGATTGCTATTTTTATTTTACTTTGCTACAACGTGAAGCATCATATTGTTCTCGGCAGCCACTCAGGCGTCACAAGCTTGGAATTGAATAACGTGTGATCATTTGTACAGTAAGATTTGGTAACGTTACTTTGGCAAAAGTGAAAAATAAATGTATTTTGCCCCTCGAAAGTTTTATCAGGTGTTCATATCTTATTTATTCTCCAGAATCGACTACAACACAAGACACCACAACGATGTCCACCACGGAATCCACCACCTCACATCCAACCACAACTACTCGTAAGAAAACTTCATTTACACCATATCTCTCTCTTTCTCTCTCTCTGTCTCTCTCTCTCTTCTCTCTTTTCTCTCTCTCTTTTTTCTCTCTCTCTCACCATACTCACCCTTTACGTTTACAATTTTCTTATTTAAGTCATTAACGCTCATTCTCTCTCTCTCTCTCTCTCTCTCTTCTCTCTTTTATTTTTTTTTCTCTCTCTCTTACCATGCTCAAACTTTCCGTTTACAATTTTCTAATTTTAGTCATTAACCCTCACTCTATCAGACTCTCACACACACACTCTTTCTCTCTTAATCTGTCTGTCTCTCTCTCTCTCTCTGTCTCTTCTCTTCTCTCTTTTCTCTCTCTCTCTCTCTTCTCTCTCTCTCACCATACTCACCCTTTACGTGTACAATTTTCTTATTTAAGTCATTAACGCTCATTCTCTCTCTCTCTCTCTCTCTCTTCTCTCTTTTATTTTTTTTCTCTCTCTCTTACCGTGCTCAAACTTTCCGTTTACAATTTTCTAATTTTAGTCATTAACCCTCTCTCTCACACACACTCTCTCTGTCTCTCTCTCTCTCTCTTTCTCTCTCTCTCTCATCTCTATTTTCTCTCTCTCTCTATCACCATGCTCAACCTTTCCGTTAATAATTTTCTCATTTTAGTCATTAACCCTCACTCTCTCAGACTCTCTCTCTCTCTCTCTCTTTCTCTATTATAATTTCACTTTGCTACAAAGTGTAGCATCATATTCTTCTCGGCAGCCACTCGACTCAGGCGTCACAAGCTAGGAACTGAATATCATGTGATGATTTGTACAGTTAGATTTGTTAACGTTTGGCAAAAATGAAAATAAACTTATTTTGCCCCCAGATAGTATCATCAGGTGTTTATATCACATTTCTTTTTCAGAATCAACTACTACACAAGACGCCACAACGATGTCCACGACGGAATCCGCCACCTCACATCCTACCACAACTACTCGTAAGAAAACTACATTTACACCATATCTCTCTCCATCTCTCTCTCTCTCTCTCTCTCTCTCTCTCTCTCTATCTCCCCCTCTGTCTCTCTCTCTCTCTCTCTCTCTCTCACCATGCTCAACATTTCCGTTTACAATTTTCTCATTTTAGGCATTAACCCTTACTCTCTCACTCCCTCTCTCTCTCTCTCTCGCTCTTCGCCCTTTCTTTCTCTCTAGATTTCTATTTTGCATGTTTTCTTATTTTCCTTCTCTCTCTCGTATTTTATCTTGCTGTCTCTCCATGACTCTCTCTTTCTCTATTTTAATATCAATTTGCTACAACGTGTAGCATTATATCGTTCTCGGCAGCCACTCAGGCGTCATAAGCTAGGGATTGAATATTATGTGATGATATTTTGTACAGTAAGATTTGTTAAAAAATGGTAAATATGAAAATAAATATATATACCCTCAGATAGTATCATCGGGTGTATAATTATATCTTATTTCTTTTTCAGAATCGACTACAACACAAGACGCCACAACGATGTCCACCACGGAATCCACCACCTCACATCCTACCACAACTATTCGTAAGAAAATTTTATTTTACACCATCTCTTTATCTCTTTATCTCTCTCTCTCTCTTCCCTCTTTTATTTATTTTCTCTCTCTCTCTCTCTCTCTCTCTCTCTCTCTCTCACACCATGCTCAACCTTTCCGTTTACAATTTTCTCATTTTAGTCATTAACCCTCACACACACACACACTCTTTCTCTCTTACTCTCTCTCTCTCTCTCTCTCTCTCCCTCTTTCTCTCACCATACTCAACCTTTCGGTGTACAATTTTCTCATTTAAGTCATTAAACGCTCATTCTCTCTCTCCCTCTCTTCTCTCTTTTATTTCTTTTCTCTCTCTCACACCATGCTCAACCTTTCCGTTAATAATTTTCTAATTTTAGTCATTAACCCTCACTCTCTCAAACACACTCTCTGTCTCTCTGTCTCTCTCTC